ATCGAGCTCTGCTTCACAGCAGACATGTCCAAAGTCGTCCTGTCCGAGCAGCAACACCGATTGTTGGATGACAGCAGCGTCACAACCATGCGAGTATACGTCAGTGCTGCCTCCAAACGTGCCGTGGTCGTCAAGGAAGACGATCTACTCACGAAGGCCGACATTCAAGCGAATCCGGTCAAAGTTTCCAAAGCCCTTTACACAGAATTGAAGACTTGGCTTGACAATAAATGCTTTCAGATGACTGACTTGAGCAAAGCGTCTAACATCATGACTTCACGCTACGTATACAAATGGAAGTTTGTCAAGAACGAAAAGGGCGAAATGGAAAGGACGATCAGGTTACGCTTGGTACTCCGTGGCTTCATGGACCTTGAAGCCTTTGATGTCGAAACCTTCTCTGGCACGGCAAGGAGGTCAAGCCAGAGACTGCTCGCAAGTTCTGCTGCATGCAACAAAGCTTGGATCATCGCTTCCCTGGACATCAACATGGCTTTCTTGAAGGGACTGACCTATAGCGAGCTCGCCGCGGCAACGGGCGAGAAAGAGCGTGTGGTGTGCTTCACACTACCTCCTGGGTCAGCAGCTGTCCTTCGCACACTGCCAGGCTTTGAGTCATATGACGAATCAAAGCATTGTCTTCGGTGTCTGAAGCCGGGGACGGGCACGAAGGATGCTCCCAGGGCATTCTCGCTGAAGCTCAGGTCCATCACTAGGAGCTTTGGGCTACAGCCTACTTCATACGACGAAGAGTTCGAGATGAGCTCAAACCTCTTGACAGCCAAGCACGTTGATGACATCAATATGACTGGGAAGGAAGATGCTATTGACAAGTATGTCAAGTGTGTTGAAGATACGTTTGGGAAGTGCAAACTGAACAAGCACACATACACAAACTGTGCCGTTCGGTATAACAAGACCGATGATGGGAGCGTCACTCTTGATCAGGACGAATACATCAAACAGCTTCGTCCTATCACACATCCAGAACTCACAGGAGCTGATCCTGAGAGCAAAGCGACAAAAACGATTTCTGATATGTTCGTCAGTCTTCGTGGCGCTCTAGCCTATGCGTTGATCACGCAGGTATGGCTGATGGTCTATGTTGTCTCACTACAACGTATCCAGGAACCGACAAACATCCAGGTACGACGACTAAACGCGGTTACCAGGAAACTACAGGCAGGTCCGAAGAAGATCGTGTATCAAGCTATGACTCCAACAGGAGAAGTTGACCTGCATAGCGATTCTGGCTATCGCCGTCTCAATGGAGATGAAGACGACGAAGTCAAAGGCTATGGTATCCGCGGGGCTAACCTGCTGAGGCGTGGCCACACGCAAGCGGGGAAACCCGTCGTGCACCTGGTGGACGCATACTGCAAGTCTCATCGACTGCAGGTGCGTTCGAGCTACTCTGCGGAAACACTGGCAGCAGCCCACAACTTGGAAGACTGCTACCCGACCATTGTAACGCTCCACGAGCTACACTCGGGACCATTGACCCCCACACAGTTAAAGAACATATTGGAAATGGGTGGTCTATGTATCAAAGTCACTCTGACTATTGATGCCGAGTCTGTCTTCAAGTCTTTGTCTAGCAAAGATCTGAAGAAGCCCACAGAATGTACTCTGCTTGGGCACATTAGCTGGATCCGCCAGATGATGGAGCGCGGAATCGTTGAAAGCGTTCAATGGTGTGACACGCGGGATATGACTGCCGATGGTCATACCAAAGGTAGTATTGACCGCGCGTTGCTCCTACAAGTAATGGCCGGCCAGCAATCCTTCAAGCACGAGCTGAAGAAACATACACCGTATAGGGCGGGCAGGTCGTCTCAGGACGGCCCTGCCTCCCGAGCTAGCGGGGAAACCCGCGTGCAGGTGCGCTCTAGTAGCGAGGAAACTCGCCGGTAGCGAGGCTACTCGCGCGCCCTTGCCTTGTAGGCAGCCGCTGCTGCTTAGCACTGTTTTTCCGCGTAATGTAGAAGTGCGGTGCCTGCTCGTCTCCTCCCCCTCCGACTTTAAACGGAGAAGGTTAAAGGCGAGGTATAAATCGAGCATGTACCGCTGCCGTGCCTGGCTCAAGCCGGGCCCGGCCAAATATATGACTGTGCCTCACCGAGGCGCACGACTGGTATCTGAGATCGGAAAATACCTTTTCCATTGAAGATGCCTCTTCTATCCTTTACTCCAGATCCCATGCTTCGTCTCGCTCTCTTGCTCATGCGATATGAGCCAAAGCCTGGGATATGGCAACGCTTGAAGCGTAACGCATACCTTAGCTTACCAGCATGTTTCCGACTCCCCCGGGACCCCCCCTCCCCCCCCCGTCGGGGAAGGGAAAGGGAAGGGGCTTCCCTTCGACTCAATTACGACGTTGCTCAAGGTCGGTGCGGGGGGGGGCGTCGTATCTGACCCGGGGGGGGGGTCGCTCCCCCCCCCCCCCTACCCCCCCCCTCCCGGCGGGGGAGGGATCAAAGGGAAGGGGCTTCCCTTCGACTCAATTACGACGTTGCTCAAGGTCGGTACGGGGGGGGGGCGTCGTATCTGACCCGGGGGGGGTCGCTCCACCCCCCGCTACCCCCCCCCCTCCCGGCGGGGGTGGGATCAAAGGGAAGGGGCTTCCCTTCGACTCAATTACGACGTTGCTCAAGGTCGGTACGGGGGGGGGGCGTCGTATCTGACCCGGGGGGGGGGTCGCTACCCCCCCCCCTCCCGGCGGGGGGGGATCAAAGGGAAGGGGCTTCCCTTCGACTCAATTACGACGTTGCTCAAGGTCGGTACGGGGGGGGGGCGTCGTATCTGGGGAAGGGCGGGGGAGGGAAAGGGAAGGGGCTTCGAAATACGACGTCCCGGGGGGCGTCGTATCTGACCTCGGGCGGGGGAGGGAAAGGGAAGGGGCTTCCCTTCGACTGAATTACGACGTTGCTCAAGGTCGGTACGGGGGGGGGGCGTCGTATCTGACCCGGGGGGGGGTCGATACCCCCCCCTCCCCTCCCGGCGGGGAAGGGATCAAAGGGAAGGGGCTTCCCTTCGACTGAATTACGACGTTGCTCAAGGTCGGCTTGGCTCGAGCGGCTCGGGCGCGGCTCGGGCGGCTGGGGCGCAGGACAGAGACGACGAGTACAAAGAATAACGGAGATGACGGCTCGAACGGAAAAGCCCCTCACACACGCCCCCCCCCTCCTGGCGGGGGAGGGAAAGGGAAGGGGCTTCCCTTGGACTGAATTACGACGTTGCTCAAGGTCGGTACGGGGGGGGGGCGTCGTATCTGACCCGGGGGGGGGGTCGCTACCCCCCCCCCCTCCCAGCGGGGAAGGGATCAAAGGGAAGGGGCTTCCCACCGACGTGCTCAAGGTCGGTACGGGGGGGGGGGCGTCGTATCTGACCCGGACCCCCCCCCCCCTCCCGGCGGGGGAGGGAAAGGGAAGGGGCTTCCCTTCGACTGAATTACGACGTTGCTCAAGGTCGGTACGGGGGGGGGGCGTCGTATCTGACCCGGGGGGGGGGGTCGCTACCCCCCCCCCCCCGGCGGGGGAGGGAAAGGGAAGGGGCTTCCCTTCGACTGAATTACGACGTTGCTCAAGGTCGGTACGGGGGGGGGGCGTCGTATCTGACCCGGGGGGGGGTCGCTACCCCCCCCCCCCTCCCGGCGGGGAAGGGAAAAAGGGAAGGGGCTTCCCTTCGACTGAATTACGACGTTGCTCAAGGTCGGTACGGGGGGGGGGGGGGGGGCGTCGTATCTGACCCGGGAGGGGGATCGCTACCCCCCCCCCCCCTCCCGGCGGGGAAGGGAAAGGGAAGGGGCTTCCCTTCGACTGAATTACGACGTTGCTCAAGGTCGGTACGGGGGGGGGGCGTCGTATCTGACCCGGGGGGGGGGTCGATACCCCCCCCCCCTCCCGGCGGGGAAGGGATCAAAGGGAAGGGGCTTCCCTTCGACTGAATTACGACGTTGCTCAAGGTCGGTACGGGGGGGGGCGTCGTATCTGACCCGGGGGGGGGGTCGATACCCCCCCCCCCCTCCCGGCGGGGAAGGGATCAAAGGGAAGGGGCTTCCCTTCGACTGAATTACGACGTTGCTCAAGGTCGGCTTGGCTCGAGCGGCTCGGGCGCGGCTCGGGCGGCTGGGGCGCAGGACAGAGACGACGAGTACAAAGAATAACGGAGATGACGGCTCGAACGGAAAAGCCCCTCACACACGCCGACAGGGTCGGCGGATCCTCCTGCACGTCGGCGTGCTGGCTTTTGCGACGTGTTGCAACGGGCTCGCATGTCGTCTATGCTGTCCGCGTAGTGCTCACTCCCGGCGGCAATACATAAAAGGTGGATGCCCACCTTTTGCCTCTCAGTGGGGATTTTATTGTCAATCTTGAGACGCCTCGCGCAACCCTGGAACAACAAAAAAAGTAGAAGAACATGTCCTGCTCATCTTTCCACATCGTGCTCTCTCTCTCTCTCTCTCTTCTTTTGCCCCTCGCCTCCCGCATCTCCTCCTTGCCGTTTGCCATTCCTTCCCTCATGAATTGCGTTTGTATGGCAAGCGCTCGATTCCACCAGCAGGGCCGACGAAACGATGCACTGACGCGGTGAAGGCTCACCAGGACGACGAGCAGCCAGCTTTCCACAAACCAGCGCCGAGGCGCCGTTGAGCCATCCAGCCTTGGGCCAGCATCCCCGCCGCGGTGGCGTGGTGACAACCAACCTCTGGAGGCCTCCAGGGGCCCCTGGAGGGCTCGTGAGGTTTCTGAAAGCCCCTGCAGGCCCGAAAGGCCTCTGGAGGCCCGAAAATAGCCCGAGCTGCCCAAGACGACGTAGCCGCCGTCGGCGGGTCCGCGGATCATCGGGCGTCGCTGGCCGCGTCGACGACGAGGAACGAGGGCGGCGGCGGCCGCGACGGAGACAGCTGACGAAGACGGCGGCGGCGGCGGCGGCGACGAGGACGAGGATGGCGGCGGCGACGGCTACGGCCGACGACGACTTCGCCCGCCGCCGAGGGCATGATCCAGCAGCTCATCGAGCGACTGTTGGCGGAGGCGAACGGCGAGGCCACCAAGGAGTCGTACTGCAAGGCGCCCTTTCCGCCTCTCCGGAGGCCGCCCGGGGGATCCCCCCTTTCTCCGCGGCGTGAAGACAGTCACCACCTCCGAGGGCCGCGGGCTTCTCGGCGGCGTTCGGAGGCCTCCTCACCTCGGAGGGCTCCCCCGCAGCCGCGCCTCGCCGAGAGAGCTCCCCCCAAAAAAGGGTGCCCAGGTCCACGCCCGGGCTGCCGCCGCAGGCCCGAGCCGTGGCCCGAGGGCCGCCCGAGGCCCAGGTAACCCGCGCGCGGCGAGGCAGCGCCGCGGCGGACGGCTGCTGCCGGTCTTCGGCGCACGGGGGCCCCTTGGCCAGGCCCTGGGGCCGTCAGAGAACGATTCGGGATGGCGGTCGTCTTCTCAGTCGCTGTCTCGCCGAGCGGCGCGGGCCCTCGCCCCCCCCCTCCCCCCTCTCCCCTTCCCTGGAGCAGCTCCTGGCAGGTGTGGGTGCTCGTTTCGAGCAGGTGGGGTCTCCCCCATAGGGCGCGACGGTTGCAAACAGCCGCACTAAGCAGAGGTCCGGAGCCAGACCCCTCCTCCCTCCCATTTCCGCCCAATGTCGAAGCGCCGCGTAAGAAAACGCTCACACGTCGTCCGTCTTCGGCGTGCGGGGTCCCCTTGCCAGGCCCTGGCACCGTGGAATAATGATCCGGGATGGAGTGCCAGCATCGGAGGGAAGGGTTCTAGGCCTCTGGGTGTCCACACGAGAAATCACGACGTCGGAGGTCTGAGGAGGAGAGGTTCGATGCAGGTCGGCCGAAGAGCCGTATTCGGCGAAGGAGCGTGCTGTTCCGGTGCTCCGGCATCGTCACAGTTCGTGAAGTTGGAGCGTCTTTGCACCGAGTTTCTGGGCTGACTGGACGACCTGTGGGTGTATATTTCGAGCACCTCCTAGGGATGAGGTCGAAGAGGAGGAGCGAGGATCGAGGATCGAAGATTCGGGTGCTTTGGGGCCTTTTCAAAGCCTCCTGCGGTGCCTTCGTCGTCACGGCTGGATCCGCCCCGCTGTGGGTTCCCGTCGTGCGAAGTTGGTGCCAGATCTGATCGTACGTCTTGACTCGCTCGAGATGGGGAGGATGCCTTTCGTGATTGACGAACTCGTGGATGCGGCGCCAGTGCTTTGTTAACCTTGCTCTCGCCAGCTTCTGCGGCGTGCCTTATTCCTCAACGCGGTCCCCCCCACGACGCTGGCCCCAGCGCGCAGGCACAAGCGCGCGCATGATTTCGAACGAGAGAGTTGGTCATGCTTCATCTGCACGTGAGGCTCAAAGCCAGCTTCGCTACCGTTTGGGGGAGGAGGGCTCAGGGGTGCGCCAGGAGGAGAGGGAGGATGAGTACGAAGGGGGGGGATAAGCTCCAGAATCGAAGGGCCGAGCATCCCAGCGGGATAGTTCAGCCTCTACCTCGAGGGTCTCGGGCGCGTCTGAGGATGAGGATGGGGCTCGCCCCCTCGTGTCACCCCCCCTCCTCTCCCCTCCATCCCTTCCCTCCCTCTCCCCTCCCTTCCCATCTCCCTCCAGTCACTTTATCCGTCCCCTCGTCCCTCCCCGCCCTCCCTCCTTAATTACGTTTCCTCTCTCGCCTTCCTCCCTGGTGCCCGTCCCCTCGCTTCCCTCCCTCCTCTTTCTGGTCCGCCCTCCCCTGCCCTCCATGGTTCCCTCCCTCCCCTCACTTCCTCGATGGGCCATTATCTCTCTCTCTCTCTCGCATTATGTGTTTCCCCTCCATCTGTCTGTTTCCTCCACCTACTCCTCCCCTTCTCTCCCCTTTTCCTCTCTTTCCTCTCCTCTTCTCCTGTTTCCTCTCCTCCCTGCACCTCCCATCTCCTCCCCTCCCGAATCCCTCCTCCCCTCTGCGACCCTGGTTCTTCCTCGAGCAGGTCCAAAATCTTCAACTCCGAGGTTGCGAACTCCACCAGAGAGCCAGTGTATCCCGAAAGGAGGACACATGCCCCCAGGGGTTTTACATCCTACTCTGCTGGCTGAGACCTCGAGTATGTATGTACAACTTATATTCAAAAAGGGCATATCCGCTTCGAGGTGTTGGACTTCGATGGCCTCCAGAGAACTTTCGGGCAGAATCCCAGCGCACTACTTCTGAGTCCACATAACACCCAAGCTCCCAAACAGACCTTTTAAGAACGTCCGAAAGCCTTCAACATTCTCCCACTCCTCTCGCCTCCCCCACCTCCCCTTCCTCTTCCTTCATCATCCTTCAGTTCCCCTCTCCCCCCGGGGGTCTCAGGGGGTCTCTGCAGGTACCTGGAGTCCTCTGGAAAGCTTTTGCAGGCCGAAACGCGTAGAACCCTCAACAAAAACCTATCCTCAATGATATCCTCAACCGTCCGCCCGGGGAGGGGGGGGGAGGATCGAGGATCGGAGAATCGAGGATCTATCGAGGATCGAGGATCGAACTTCCCCCCTGTCCTCCTCCCTCTCCGTCCCTCCCTCTCTGTGCTACTGGCCTCCCCCCCACCAGGGCCGAGCTTGCTCCTGCCCCCGACCCCCTCGGACGAGGACGGCCACCACCACCACCATCACCACCACCACGACCACGGCCACGACAACGACAACGAGAGAGGAGAAGGATGAGGAGAAACGGAACGGAACGGCTGTCCACGAAGGAGAGGTCAAGCCTCTTCTGCCAGGCGGGTGCTGAGCCTAATTGGGCCCAACGGCCGACGCTGGCCCCATACAGGGGCCAGGGAAAAGCCCAGGGACACGAACCCCAGAGACATTTCCGATACAGACACTCAAAACATAAGATAATGGGTTATACTTAAAAGACAGGCACCGTCCTCCCCCGTGCCTCCCCCCACCTCCACGTGACCGCCGCGGACGGCTCCCACCGCGCCCACGTAGCCCACCGCGTATGCGGGGCGGGGCGGGGCGCGTTGGGGAGGGGGAGACAGAAAACGAGGCGACGGGGCAGGGCGACACAACGAGCAGACAACGCCGAACTCATCACAATCGAAACCAGCAGCACTTGTGTCGCCACATATCATGTATAAGTGGCTCTGGACGCCTGAGAACCTGCGGCACATAGAATGCCTACGTATACTTTGAGGGGCCGAAAGCCCCCATCCCGTATCCCCGAATATAAACATACCCCACCTCACCCTTAGGAATTAGCGATTGCTTGGACGAGCCAGCGATGCAAATCTGACTGAAACAGCTGCGTGCCACCCGAAGTAGCACCACGAGCCGAATCGAACAAACCCTCCAGGGAAACAGGAACTCTGCGCATCTCAAGACGACGCTCACGGCGTCTCTGGAGAGCCGCAGCTCTATTTGCAGCTATTCGTTCTAGAATGCGAAGCGGCGGGGTCGGAGGAGGAGGGGGGACGGTGAAAAACCAGGAGCTAAACCCATGGCGTCCTGATCCTCTGCAGCTGCCGGCGCAATGCGATGTGCAAACTCAAGCTCGATAGACTCGCTCGGAGGCACCGCAGGTGGAGGGGGCTGCGGCCTACGGGTCTCTGCAATAGCCGCCGCTGCCTTCCTCCTGCTGCCTGCCGATCGAAACGCAAGATCTGGCCTTCTGAGTGGGGCAGAAACATCCATCGAAGCCGAACCAACAACAAACTGCAGCAGCTCCGCACACTCCTTTTCATCGTCGGGCTCAGGATCCAACAAACAAGACTATGTACCCAAAAAGCGTGGGCAAGAGCGCATCTAGCATGGACTGCGAGCACACGGCGTAGCTCCTTCGGATATATGTTTCTGAGCCGAACGCCAACGCTTCCCGACCTCATCCCATCCAAAGAGAGGCGGGTGCGCACGGGGGCCGCGCGAGCCGAAACCTCCTCCAGGCGTCTCTCGTAGAAGGCGATGTAACTTAGGCATTTGAATGGATGATATTGATTTCGGCGCCCTGCCGATCTGACCAAACTCACGCGGACCAAAACATGTAAACGTGGCCGCTGGCATTGCGGTGAGCGCCGTAGCCGGATTGACATGCCAAGACGGAACGCATCTCGGCTCCCAGCTAGATGGGGGCTGGGCGCTCCATTCATTCAAGTGCTTTAGAGGCGTCGGCACTGCCAGCAGCTCACTGTAGGGGGCCACATGCGAACCCTACCCCTACCCCCCACGATTTCTGAGGGGGAGGGAGGGTGGAGGTCCCGAACGAAGTGAACCCCACCCTCCCCCTCAGAAATCGTGGGGGGTAGGGGTAGGGTTCGCATGTGGCCCCCTATCACTGGTGGCCTGAAAAAGATCGCCTGCAACTCGCACCTGGAGCCCCGGCATGGGCGCCAAAGCCGCCGGGCCCCGGGGAGCTTGCCGAGACCTCATCGGCGGGGGGGGCCGCATCTCTCCACCTAGCCGTCGCAACTTCTCGCGCGCCCCCCCCTCCCCCGATGGCCAGGACTCTGCCTGCGCATACAGTCGGGGCCCTGAAGAAGGAACCCTTTTCGTTGGGGAGGGGCTCCACGTTCCTTAAGTGTTTCACAGCTTGCCTCAGGCTTTCCTTATGTTTTCGACAGAAAACCGAAGGTTAACTTATGGAAGAAAGGGGCCTCGTTCCTTATTTAGGGTTCCTTAACGCCCCGACTGTATGTGGGCAGCCCAAACAGCCACCGCACCTGGCATAGTCAAATTCGCTTCCCCCCTGCCCAGGAGAATGTCCACCGCCGGGGCCACCAGTTCGAGCGAGGGGGTCTGACGAGCCAGCCCGATATCCACCTGCTGTCGCACATCATTCCCCTGGCGATGTCCGCAAACAAAGAGAGAGCAACAACAACCGGACTTCGTACAATTACCCTGGGCACCGAAGTTGCCGGCGGACCTGTAAACGCATCGGCCGCGGGTCAGGCTGCTGTTCTACGACTGACTCAGGCACGGCCAACGCCATCTGCCAATTCCACCCAGTAACCTGCTCAACAAGTTCGGTCACGAATTGGTTGGCATCGGAACGCAAATAAGCACGGCGAGTCGCTCTAGCATCGAGGGGAATGGGCCCAGGGGGAGTCCGAGAGGGGAAGGTGGAGGTGGAGG